ATGGACATCGCCGGCAATAAGATGACTGAGGTATGTACGTGTGGCTGTTCACAAGACGACGAGGATCACCATATCGAGCAATGGACATGCACGGAAGAACCTCTATTGTGCAGTGGAACAATGGAAAAGCTAAAGCGGGATAAAGAATGCAGGGTGTTGTGGGCGCACGGACAGGGCGTGACTTGTCTCGGTGGAACTGTTTGTCTCTTTCCATCTCCTGCCATGATATAAGTCAAAACGGTTATTGTCCAGGCCACCTCCATGCCAGCCATCCTCTCCGCGCGGCCAGCCCGCACGACGCTCCTCCCTGCGCCCACCGACGTCCCCGTGCGCACCAACACCAAACCGCGGCGCACAAAGCCCTACTCCCACTCGCACTCCCACTCGCACTCGAAACGCCCGCGAGCCCCGCTGCCGCTGCCGCGCGCGCCACACCCGTTCGACTCGCTGCCGTGGCTGCCCCTGCTCGACGCCACACCCAGCGATCGCGACGTCTGGGACCTCGCCGACCTCTCGCAGCTCCCCGACAAGCCGCCCGTGCTCATTGCGCGCCGGCCCTTTCCCGATCTCGTGCAGACGGCGCCCCTGCGTCCGTCCACGCCCCAGCCCCCGCCCCCATCGACGCCCACGCCTCTGCCCACGCCCTTGTCTCTGCCCCTGCCCCTGCCCCTGCCCCTGCCCCCCTGCGACACCCGCTGCCCGACGACGCCGCGCGCGCGTGCGCGCTTCGTACCCGCCCGCGTGCTGTTCCATAACCTTATGCCTGTGCTCTGTGACGCCAGCGACAGCGCTGCTGCGTGTACTTCTAGCTGACCGCCGACCGGTCCGATTTGCTTTGCCTTTGCCTTTGCCGTTGCCTTTGTTCGTTCCATGCATGCCGTAGCCTGCGCCATTCAAGCCGGCTTTCGTTTATCATTCATCCATCCATCGTGTTCTGTCTGTAATCTGTATCCATCCGTCGCATATCTGTTCTGCATTATCACATCGCATGCCAATCTCGTTTTTTCCATAGTTAGAATCATCTACATCTACGTAGTGCTGCTGTTATATCTCGTCATTTATTCCTCGCCCCAGCATAATGCTGCCTGCCTTCGTTTGATATGTAGTCCTTGTAGTAGCTAGTGTACTTATGATCAAGTGACCTGTGACTCTTCTGACTCTGACTCTGACTCTGACTCCCATGTCGCACGACCGTCTCCCCAATTTCGGCGCTGGCCCCTCTGCGCTCCCCGAGTCTGTCCTCGCCGAGGCAGCACAGGGCCTGCTCAACTTCAACAACACAGGCATCGGCATCGCAGAGATCTCGCACCGCTCCAAGGAATTCAACGCGTTCATCAGGGAGACCGCGCAGCTCATCCGCGAGCAGCTCGACGTGCCCGCGACGCACGAGATCCTCTTCATGCAGGGCGGCGGCACCACGCAGTTCTCCGCCGTCGTCCTCAACCTCCTCGCGCGCCACCGCCTGCTCTACCCCGACCTCCCCGACAAAGACCGCGTCCTCGACTACGTCCTCAGCGGCACCTGGTCCAAAGCATCCCACGCCGAAGCCACGCGCCTCGCACAGGGGTGCACCGTGCGCATCGCCGCCGACTCTCGTCCGCACTCCGCCGACGGTAAATCCTTCGACGGCCTCCCCCCGCACTCCGCCTACACGTTCTCCGCCCCACACCCCGTGCTCATATACTACTGCGAGAACGAGACCGTATCAGGCACACAGTTCGCGGGGAGCGCGAACCCGAACGACAGCAGCGCGTTCCCGTTCCACCGGCTCCCGAACGAACCGCTCCTCCCGCTCGTGGGGGACTACTCGTCGTCGTTCATGAGCCGCCCGATCCCGCGTCTCGCGGATCACGCGGTCGTGTTCGCGGGCGCGCAGAAGAACCTCGGGCCCGCGGGGACGAGCGTCGTCATCGTGCGCAGGGACTGCATCGTCGACGTCGACGCCGCGCTCGCGTTCGGGGGCGCGCCCGTCCCGGTGTCCCTCGCGTATGCGCCGTACGCGGCGCAGGACTCGATGCCGAATACGCCGAGTGTGTTTGCGGTGTACGTTGCGGGGCTTGTGCTGCGCCGGAGCAGGGCGCTGGGGGGTGTGCGGTATTATGAGGCGGTGAATCGGAGGAAGCAGGCGAGGGTGTATGAGGTGTTGTGGGAGGGGAAGCAGAGGGGGGTGTTTTGTCCGAAGGTTAGGGAGGGGCAGGGGAGCTGGATGAATGTCACGTTTGGCGTTGTTGGTGAGGGCGCGGAGGAGCGATTTTTGGAGGGCGCGGAGAAGAGGGGTCTTATGGGTCTCAAGGGACATCGGTGTGTTGGCTTTTTGTTGTGTGGTTCGATGCTCAACTCCCTTCAGCTCGGTCGGCGGGATGCGCGCGTCGCTGTACAACGCCGTCACCGAAGAATGGGTCGACCAGCTCGTCGCCTACATGCGCGAGTTCATCGACCAGGAATCAAAAGCCCCCGCCACCGCTGTGGTCACAGAGGCATGAAATTAAAGTAGAGTATTAAATGTGTAATCGGGGGTCGTCTCCTCGTCTGTACTCGTTTATCCATACGGCTGGCGAATCGTGAATAGTAAATGAACATTTGAGATCGTACGCGGTATTGTGTGTGTATTGTACTCCCATGCAGTGGTGGCAAGCTTTTGATGCTACCCCACTGGCCTTTTAGATGGCTGGTTAAGAATCGAGCGCACGTAGATATCAATATGGTATAGTGATAATGATCCTAACATGACGCCCCTCGAGAGGACAAATAAGTCACTTTGCCGGAGTGGTTAACGGGATCGCCTGCTAAGCGGTTGGGCTTTGCCCGCGAGTGTTCGAATCGCTCAGGTGACGATGTTTTTGTCATGCCACACCAGGACCTTCCTTCATCACTTGCGCTTCACGTTGAACCTTGATGCTTTTTGAACGGACACACGATGGACGACCCCATCCCCATTAGAACGAACATTCGTATCGTGACCAAGCCCTGATAGTACCAGTCATTTCCATAGCGGCCCGAACCTTCGTCGAAGCCTCTCTTCTTAATCTCCCTTGCTTTCCACCTTCCTCCCGACGTACCCTGTTCCCGCCCTCGTCAAAAGCAAGACCTCAGTTTTGAATGTCAGCCCGATCTATGTACCTGGTCTTTTCCTTTCCTTTCCTTGCATGCACGCACGTATCTCTTTCGGGCACATAAATACATCCGCAGCACGAGTACTCTCCATATTGTTAGCTAAATAGGGAGAGGCGGAACCTATTAGAGCCACAGAACCTTGTGCTTTCCTTTCCCTTTTTCCTTGTCCTGTCTTTCCTTTCCTTGTCTCTCCTTGTCTCTCCTTGACCCCCGATGCACGCAAGTATCCCTTCTGAGTTAACACATACATCCGCCGCCTAATCTCCGGTGCTGTCCTTTTCCGACGGGGGAGAATTCTAGGGCACGCGAACCAGCCTTGGGGGCCCCTCGCGGGAGGTCGTCCGTCGTCACTTTGCCGGAGTGGTTAACGGGATCGCCTGCTATGTATCCTAACCAATGAGGACGCCCCCTTGGAGGAGGATGATGCGCATTAGCGGTTGGGCTTTGCCCGCGAGTGTTCGAATCGCTCAGGTGACGCTGTTTTTGTTCTTGCTCTTGTTCTTTTGTTTCTTTTGTTTTTCTGATTTTGTCCTTTTGTTTTGGTTGTGAGAACCCCGTTTGGGAATGCGAAAGGGGTGGTTTGTTGTGCTGGTTCGTGTGTCGGTCGTATCGAGTTTGATTTGAGGTGTGCGATCAAGTGCTCGCACCTCCGGTGAAACTCCCCAGTCGCTCGCCACATCCTGGTACAGCAGTAGTTCTTGGAGTGGTTCGTGTTGGTTCCTGATGATCTCCACTTTTCGGGGTGATCGGTCGACTCGACGGGAGCATTTTTTTGTATGCAATAAGCGCGCGCGTTAGTACATACATTTGAATGGCCGTGTGATGAGGAGTTTCGCGAATCGCCGCATGCTGCATCAAGTTTCTCGACTTATCATCGACGCTCTTTGTTCTCACATTTCTTGGAGTGGCTTGTTTGTGAGCCGACTACTTTATTGCACGGATACCCTTCCCATCGACCATGGCATGTCGACGTCACCGCTATTCTCTTGTCCATGAGTGTGACCGACTGTCTGCAAGACATTGATTGAATCACTCGTCCCAATGGTCGTTCAAAGTCCATGACCATGGTGTGGCGCACACCCCTCCCTAACTGGGCACACCCACATTCATCTTCGACATCGTCACTTTGCCGGAGTGGTTAACGGGATCGCCTGCTATGCATTCAAGCGGTTGCACTTTGTGCGCGAGTGTTCGAATCGCTCAGGTGACGCATTTTTGCTTATCCTCGTCCATGCGCATGCAGGTTTCGCAATGGGCTCGGAAAGGAGTTTTTTGGAGGCTCGCGCAAAGGTCTACAGCTTCGTCATAGTGAGAGACACCTGAGGCTTTGTTTCACTCAGATTCCCGACATTTCCGATCGTTGTGACCTCTCAAGGTCCCTTCATTGGTCTCAAACAAACGGGATTGTATGTCGTCGTAAGAGCGGATTCCGAAGGTAGGGAGCTTTTTCGGAGGCCTCTGCGCAACAGGCGCATACTTCCCATCAACCCTGTGCTTCCCCACGAGTGATCTTAGGCCGCTTTCGGCATGGTGCCAATGTTTGGCGGATGCTGTGCCGCGAGCAGTAAGGCTTAGGTCTCACGTTATCCGTGCCACTCTTGCACGTCCATCGTCGTCCCAGCACAGGTGAGCGCATCGTCGCTCCTCCCCATCACATCAGTCCTGACTGCTTTCGTGCAGAGTAGCTCAACTAAAAGTCTTAGTTTTTTATTTATCTGCATCTACGCTACTCTGCACGGTAAGACAAGTCCTACAGCATTTGCGATGACTTGACGCCTCATC